TTGTCGGATAGCGAACGCCGAGATCATGGGTATCCTTGATACGACGTCCGGCTAATTTTGCGGTAATTCTATTTTTTGCACAAAACACAAGAAACGTCTGATAACAAGTCAATAAAATACAATTTAATAAATTTTAGGCCTAATAAATTTAGGTATGTAAGAAATTTAAAACTGGAAATCACAAAAAAATCAAATTACAGAAATGCACGAGTTTTGGTTCCCGCGGAGCGCGTATAATGGGACTTTTGTCGGGAGAATTCTACAACTTAGAAGAAACATACACACTTTAAACTATGTATACATATTTAGAAGACATGAGATTTGGGTTTGCTCAATTTTCAAACCAAAAAACTGAAAATCGTCAATTTTAGGCAACTTTTCTCAAAGTTTTGAGTCATTGGGTGCATTTTTGGCATTTTTGTGCCACTTCAAACTTTCGAAAAAAAATTTAGTTTTTTTTTTAGGGAAAAAAATTTGTTAATTTGTTTGATATCTTGGCCAATTATAATCCGATTTCGGTAAAAATCACACACGTACAAGATTTTATATTTAAGAGTAAGCTTTGTAAGTGGCATTAAAAAAATTTAAATAGTTTGGCCGTTATAGGCAAACAATGAAATTAGACTTGCGGTACAATTTGCCCTTCCGCCATATGCCCAATTTTGGGATTTCTCTTGCCCCCTTCTGGGAATCAATAGTCACATCCCTTAAGTTCAAAACGAATTTTTGTTTCTTCAAATATCTTAATTTTTACCAAAGTTATGAAGAATTTAGTGTTTGAACATTTAACAAATTCAATTTTTAGACCTTCGCCGCCTCAAAATACTAAACAAATTTCAATCGTCCATACCGCGAGAACGGTGCATCAAATCAAAATTTCTCAAGAGACATAAATATTAGCATTTTTTCTAAGCTTTCAAGTGTCGTAAACTGCGTTTTAAAAATATTGATTTATTTGCGATATGCGCATGCGCAAAATTGAAAAATTGACAAAATCCAAAATTTCGGCACTTTCGAAAAACTGCTACATTTTGTTTTGCCTTTTTTCGAAAAGATCACCTCAAAATACATAGAATCCATTTTGTTCCATCTAATTACAATTTAATGTAAGCTCAAAACCGGTAATTTAATTCGATTACTACAGTAATTAACAGGACAATTCATGAAATAGAAATACAATTAATCAATAAATGAAAATAAATAATCCAAAATATGACTTGCTATATTTATATTTTGTTATACTAATAGTTTTTCAATCGATTTTATAATAATAAAAACTGCAAATCATCATTTTATATAAAAAATTATTTTGTTAGATTTTCTGTAAATTATTTTATATACCTAATCCATAGAGTTTGTTATACTAATAATTCTTCAATCGATTTTATAATATTAAAAACTGCAAATCATCGTTCTGAGGGCAAGGTTGAACAGATTATGATAATATAAAAATTTATACTGCTGGAAAATATTATAATTTATAATCCATGTACTAGCGAGCATTTATTATTTATTAGTCACAGCAAGTTTATCAATAATGGTTTTTTAAACACCGTATTAAACTGGGTGACGGAAATTATTTATAAAAACATCTTATATTTGCTAGAATAATCAATGTTTTCAATAATCAAGGGTCTTTTTTAATTAATTCCAAAAAATAATGGTATATTCCACAAGTAATTATCATTCCAGTTAATCCCGTATTCACCAGACTTGGCTCCTCACTTAATGTCAGCTCAAAATATTAACTTTGAATAGTGATGGTAGAAAAATATATTTATATACTGACTTTGGAGGTTATTTAGTTAGATAACAACTTTAATGACTAGTTCAATATTAATTTTTCCATGGACAGTGTACATGGTAATTTGTATACTAATTACCATAATTGAATTACCCTTCATCATTGATCTAATGACTATGTTTGTCTTTTTTAATCTAAAGCAAACATTGTCAACAATATTTATATCAATGCTTTTAAATTTGTGAAAAAGAATGTCAAACTTTTTTTACAGGAAATCACCTTGAAATTAATTACTGGTTGCGTTGTAGTCTCGTGTTCAGTGCAGGTTTCCCATTGGAGAAGATTTAACCATTATTTTTTTGTAGTTTTAATCAAAGATTTTTAAAAATATATATCATAGTTTTTATTTTCTTGTCATTCAAGAAAGTGGGTTATTTTCAAAAAAAAAAAAATGTTACTTTACATGTCATTTTCTACAATCCATTAAATTAAATAAATTATCTGTCAACAAATCATTTGCTAATTGAGGTTTAGAATTCAAAATTCCAAGCTTATCTTGTTGAAAACCACTTGATAAATCTCTGACCACTATTACTTAAACATGACGTAATTATTTTACGTATTGAAACTGTCTTCTGTGTATCTATAATAATCAAAACGAAATATTTTTTTAAATCTATGCTCATCCTTTTTTTTTCACATATCGGTCGTAGTTCTTTAATGGTCCTCTCAGGATTCGTTTAATTAAGTTGTATTTATTTTACCCATTTATATATAAATGTTTTTATATATATTATAAATCTATATTTTAATAATTGACTTATTATTTGATGTATTATGTACCTATGTTTTCTATCTCTGACAATAAATAATTTTGATTTTAAGAACTTTGAACTTTAGATAGTTTCTGAAGATACACCACTTTTTAACACAGCTTTGTCTATAGTCTGTTCGCTATACTTACGCGGGTTTCGGATTAAAATTTTTATGAGTATTTCCAGGTAAGTACCCGAAAGTTTGACCTGTTCTTTGGGGAAATATCAACTGGTTAAATGAAATGAAAAATAATGTACAACTTTTTAATTAAATAATAATTGAGAATCTTTTGTATAATTGAGAGCAGAATTCAACTTATTCATTAATGGAGTCTAATGTGGCTATCATAAACCTAATAATAATTTTATATTACACTTCATACAGAAAATATGGTTTATGTATAATAAGAGGGTTATTTAGCTCAAATAAAAAATTTTCTAACAAAAATTTGTTCCAAGTAGAGAATATCAAATGAAAAATAAAAAAATTTAACTTGCCAACAAAAATGAAAATCAGTCATTATCATCCAAAATATCATAATCGTCATAATCATCACTGTCATCACCATTAATTGTTATTATGATTGGACTTATTTCGTTTATTTTATTTTCACGAGTCCACCAATCTTCTATTAGTTTCTTGCACTTGGATATACAGTTCCGCCACACTTCTGGAGTTGCAATTGAAAGTGCTTTTCGCCAAGTTTCCCGAACTGCGTCGTCACTATAACCATTAGGCACAATATGGTTGTCATAATATTGTTTTGCTATTCCCCATATATATTCGATGGGATTAAACTGGCAATGATACGGTGGCAGACGAAAAACTTGATGACCGTAACTTTCAATAATCTGATCCACAACAAAGGTTTTTGGTTTTGCGTGTATATTTGCCAAGCGTAATAATTCTGATTTTAATATATATATTGAAATGGTATGTGTTCCTTTGTCAACCATTCTTTAATTTTATCAACAGTCCAAGAATTCGTTGGACTTTTGTTTAATACTTCAGAATGGTAAGGTGCATTGTCTAAAATAATTACGCTGGGCTCACTTAAACCTGGGAGAAGTTTTTCATGCAACCATTTTACAAACATTTACGTGTTCATATTATCGTGATAGTCACTGGATTTGGATTTAGATGAAAATATTAAATCAGCACCTTCTATAAAACCCGATTTCCCTCTTGCATGTAAAATTATGTGTCGCTTCCCTTCTCCATCGGTATGTTTGATGAACTTTACGTTATCATCTTGCCATATTCTCTTGGTTGCACCCCTAGAAAATATCCATGTGTCGTCTAAATATATAAAATTGCCCCTAATTCTTTAAATTTAGAATATTTTCTTAGAAAGTTAATTCTCTTGTGCACGACAGAACTTCTTTCACAAAGGGCCTTTCTGTTATCCTCCTTTTGAAATTTGAAACCCAAGTTATGTATTACTTGCCAATGTCGTCAAATTTTCTATCTATTAATTCCGAGAGAATTGTATTTAAGGTCACATGTTCCTTGTTGACCCTCATTTGATAAATGGTATCACGAATTTTAAATTTCTTTCCAGCTGGAATATCTTTCGTTTTCAATGATGGGCGAGTTTTGCGGTGATCTTTCGGCAGTTCACTATTGTGATTTTGTAATACTCTTCTTAATTTGGTTTCCCTAATTCCTAGAGCATCGCATACGCGTTTTACCGATTTTAGAGGACCGCCATTTTCTGTTTCATCCGTAAAATACTTATGTACACTACAAATTAGACTATCTACATCTAACACACGTCTAGGAATTTTTAAAATTTCCACTAAATTTACAATATACATACAATGTCAACACTTGCAAAGAATCAATTCAACTGCAATATTTGTAACAAATTTAGTACCTACCCTAATGTTATTTTAATTTAAATCTGACCATTAGGGCAATTTTACCTAATTTCTTGGGAAGAGGCTTATTGGAACTGGTTGTCAATGACTAATTTGCATAATTTTGTTAATCCGAAACCAGCGTAAGTATAGCGAACAGATTGTACATACTCTTCTGCTTAAAATATCAAAATTTCCAATTTTCGTGATGGCAGTGTTCCAACAAGAGTTTTCAATTGTTGATAGTTGCTTTAGCTCCTGTGTAAGCTGAAGCCAGTCATGAGCATTTTAACGAGGCTCAACTAAAAGATTAAATCTTGGATATTGTTTAAACATATTAATGTGTACCTTGAATTCTACATACTTTGAATTATTTATCCGAAAATATTTGAACACAGATTGAAACTCAATATAATAATAATTGTGTTATCATAGTTTTAAATTATACCAGAGCTATTAAGGTAAACAATGTCATTTAATAGGGTCATTATCTACTTCATACTAGTATCAAAACTATCCTTGAAACTTTTTTTTAATATATTTATTATAATTTTCTCGAATATTCACTAAATATTTCTCAGATTAGGTTGCGAAGATTTTACACACCCACCTACCAAACCAACGCCTGACCAGGGTGCGACCAGGTCGCTGTTTTTCCCGGACGACGTTATATTTCCCGGACATCCCAGGTTCAAAACTTTATCAAGAAATATTAGGATGCGGCGAGGGGAAAAAGTAGCAATAAATCTACCAGGTAAGTTTTATGTTTATAACAAATACGATTTAAAAATTGATAGAAATTTGATACTATATAAGTTTCTGTTGACCAACAAACTATTTTAATATTAACATTGGAAGCTTCTTAGCAAAAAAAGACGAGAGGTTAACCGTAAATGCGTGTTTTGACTGTTGGTGTACATCAATACAATTTCTGAAGCTCAGCCTTGATGTACCTATATTGATCTTGTAAAGCCTGTAGAATTAATTTATCAAAGGCATTGGTAATACAAAAGCTGCCATACTGGATGATGAAGTTTCATAATATGACGTTGGTATATTAGCAATAAGTTCGTTGATGTTTCTTGATCCTTTTTGGGTACTGCTTCAATGTGGAAATAGGCAGAAACAGCTATTAAATCAATTCAAATTGTACCCTTATATGCTCCTTAATTTTTAGTTTGTTGCAGTTAAATTTGGAGGTCATGTTTATCTGATAATCCCCCTTAATATATTATAAGTAAATGAAAAGTATTTATTTAGATTTTCTTACCAGTATATCTTATCGCATTTTGATAGTTTATCTTTATAGTATTAGTACAGTTCTTAAATTATAATTTTGCAGTAAAATTTATAGACTTTACAAGGGTTTAAATATTTTATTTTATGAAAATAGTATTTGCCAAAATTGCCAACGAAATAAGTTTGTCAAGTTTGTGATAATATACAGGGTAATTTTTTTTAAAAAGAACCCACCCTAAATATCACAATGTACAAGTATCATAAAAAGCATTTTAACCATTTTCAAAATATCAACAGTTTGCATATATACATACAAAAAGCTTTTGTTCACTATTTTTTGCGGTATTTCAGAAGTAACGAAAATTTTCTAATTAACTTGATGGGATAAAAAAGGTAATCTAGCAGATTGAACCCTTTCGATAATTCAGTAATTATGAAATCTGTTGTCCAAAAAAAGTATCCCAATATAATGTGATCAAAAAAACAAGTTAATATGCCTCAATAAATGAAGATTTCGATATCTCAATTGTAACCTCTTCGATTTGACAAATATTTAACAAATCATCCCTCTATGAATGCTGTAATGATTTATTTAATTATTATTGAAATTTTAAACCACTAATTGTTGCAAAAAAATCTCGAAATTGCATTTGATATTGAATTTACGTATTTAAATATATCATAAATAAGGTAAGTTGTTTAAAATGCATAACAATAAATTAAAATATTTTTTACATTCATTCATAAATTGTTTTATGTTAAAAACAATTTATTGGTAGTAAATAAATTAAATTAACTGTTTTTATGACTATTATACCATTCGATTAATTATGTAGTTAAATTAATTCATTAAGTTTACTGTTGCATTACATTTATAGAAATATAATGTAATAAATGATAGGAGAGCTTGTTAATGTTTCATTCAGACCGTTTTTATGACACTGTATATTTTTTTATCTCCATAATAATGAGGTTGATTGTCTTAACAAAATTACATCATTTTCAATAAAGAAAATGATAATGAATATACAAAGTAATTAAGTAAATATTATTGTAAATAAATTAACAAATAACTAGACAGAAAAGGCATGTGTTGGACACATCAGATTTTTTATATTTCATTCAGTTTAGGATTTATTAACAATTATCTTGAAACTCCGTAGAAACTATTGTAAATGCTAAACCAAATGAAATATCAAAAAAAGGTTTAGGTAGTTTTTTTGCTGATATTATCAGCTTTCATATTCAAATTCCTAATATTGAAAAAAAAAAGTAAAGTTTATTTTTGCGAGTCGCTTAAAGTTTTTATTTTAATCTACCCTGTATATTATTTTAATTCAATTTCGATAGATTTGAATTTATTTTATGGGAACTTATACTTTTGTGAATATTTTCTGCAAATTTGGTGCAAAGATAATTTTAAAGATTAACATTATTCAAAAAAATATAAAATGTGCTCACTTTTTTGACCCACCGTGTATATTTTTAAATTGTCGAGATTTATTACACTAACATAACCACCCGGGTTGCCAAATAGATGTGAATGAACTACAGAAGTACTATATAGGCAATCTTTTTTAAATCGATTTTCTTTTCCATAATCTATGGTTAAATATATTTCGGTACAATGGGCACTGCATGGAACTTATCCATTTACACGATTTTTTCAACATAACTATTTTTAAAAATGTATTTGTCGTGCCGTGATTCATGTTTTCGTCATTTTTTTTATTTCAAACGTGTATATAACGAGCACGAATGAATAGATGAATGATTTTGCTAAAACTGAATGCATTATGGATGATTAGCTCAAAATTGGTAGATGGATGATTTGCTAAAAAGTAATTACTCACTTTCTGTTTGCTAACACGTTGTATAGATAAGAAAAATAAATAATAAAACTATGTATTATATCATTGGTTTATTTTTAGAAATAAATTATGCCTGCCTATAATAAAACTAGATATAGATAACCTTCGATGGTTTTTTTGTAAAATCATTATCAATTAAACCACATATCACCTTTATATCATAATTTTTTCCAATGACTAGATTTTTAATGGAAAATATAGAAATCATGATTTTTTCGACCTCAAGTTTTTGACATATCTTTACGTTTTCACTATTTTCTCGATGTCTATTTATGTGTCTGTATCCTATATAACTCAAAGGGAAAAAACCAAATTTAAAACTTTAACTTTAATCCATCTAGTCCAGTAACTGAATAAGGGACCAACCTGTCATTAAGTCGGTCCAGATTTCCGTTGTGGCTCAACTCTTAGGTCTCGGCGGTCGCTTCCAAGGTCGAAAACTTTTACCAACTCTGCTGCGTCGGAAAGGGCCCAAAATGGACCCTAAAACTGGCTTCCCGCCAATATCTTCCACAATATGCAAATTAGAGAATTTTTGTTTAGATAAAAAGAAAGATCTTATCATTATCTACAAAAATGGTCCCTATCATTTTTGTCGGGAATTCGACAGGTTTCGAGATAACCGCTATCAAAAGTCCCTCGTTCAGCCCCTGCTTTATCTCTATAGCAATGCTGATTAGCTTGTAAACGGGTGGACAAATTGTTTCAGAACTCGGTCAAAAATTGATATTTTTTGATGATTCAAAGTTCATTACAATGGGAAAACCCATAGATATCGATCCATGTGCCTTGAAGCCCGTTATTTTCTGTCAAGAACATTGAAAAAGGGGTCAAAGTCGCGTTTTCCTACTATTTTGGACCACTTTATAGTAATTTATTCATATTTTTTTTATTTTAATAGTTTTTTATCCCATTTTTGTTTTAAATGGGATCTTGAGATGTCTCGAATGATCTCAGAATTTTTTTTCCAGTATCTTCCTGGCGTTTTAAAACAAAATTAGTAATTAAAAACTCATATTTCATATTATTGTTATTCAATGCACACCATTTTAAAGCATAGAGTGTCTACTTTTTGAATGTATTTTTTTTTAAAATCGGGAAAATTGATCACACCGGGGAAAACCGGACTTTTTTTTTTAAATACTTCTTGTTCCCCGCTGTTAATTTTTTGAACATTAATACCCAGACCAAAGTGAAGCTGATATTCTCACCTTTTCATGTCTATCAATTGATCCCGTATGTGAACGTGGTTCTTAACTGTTTGTTAGAATTATCTCCCCCATTTTTTCGCTCTCCGCCTGAGATCTATGATATTCCATCATAACCTAACCGCGTGTACCCACGCGCTTACCTTAATCGTCTGCTTGTGTTGGTATACAATCTCTGTTGTTTTTGGAGTCGTTATTGTCGGTTGTTATATATTTCTTTCGTATATTTAAAGAAAATTCACAATTCTGGGTTCGAATAGTAATAATAAACAATGATTACTTTTCTTTTCTATATTTAACACAAATGAGTTAAAGTGGAATATATATCGAAGATTTGGGGTTGAGGTAAGTCTTTTGTTGCTATATCTATCATATAATTATTTCTACTAATGTTATTCTTTTTTTTTAGGTTAAAACAAACATAAAATAGAAAGCCCTTTAGATACAGAGCTTTTAGCGGCACTTCTAGAAGATTTGCTTTACAAAGTGAGTGTAAATTACCAGAAAAATTAATGAAATTAAGTGTAAAAGTGATCCGGCCCCTCCGGAACTCTTGAAGATGATTTTTTGTCAGTGCAAGACAGGCTGCGAGAAGAATTGTTCTTGTTTGAAAGCCGGACTGAAATGCTCGCCTGTCTGTGGTTCGTGTCAGTCGACACAGTGTTTTAATTATAACAAAAATTAAGGTATTTTCCCGGAAGAATTAGAGATGGATCGAGACCGAGAAGGGGTTGAAGGGGAGGAAGATGAAATAGCTGTCGAGACAGCAACACAGGGGTTGGAAAAACAGGAGGAAGGGACGCGTGGAGCAAGAGCAAGACGATGAAGAGTATGATTCTGATGACATTGAATGGTTTAACGTATGATAAATTATAAGCATTGCTATGTATTTCGTATTTTCAACATGTTTTTCATAATAAACGAAATTTTTCAGAAACTTTCTTATTTTTCTGAAACCCTGGACCTATATTGTTCCGATAGAAGTTGGCGAAAATATAAAGGGTCTTCTCGGGTCAATATTCATCACACTCTTAAACTAATAACCCACTATTAGGCAAAGCGCCGGGATTTGAGACTGCCACATGAAAAAAAATTTTTTTTGCACTTTTCTATTAAATTTTGCAACGCAAATTACACAGAACATTCGGCAATATAGATTAGACCCCCCCAAGCGCTACTTTACAGAAAAAATCCCGTAGAATCCGCCAATAATTGTCGTAAGATCTATTAGTGCCCGGATTTCCATTCATAGGCCCCATAATTTAGTGAGCAGAGGTATGCCGCTGGCGCCATCTACAATTGATCTCCAAAGTCCAAAACATGAAAATCAATGTATTCCCAACTCCCTCGAGCGGAAATTCAATGAGAAACTAACATTTCTATTCAATGCAAAAATTCGGGCTTTTTCGAATGCCGTTTTTTCAAAAAATATTCGT